CACACACACACAAACACACATGCATGTGCAGAGGCAGAAATAAATTCATTCTTCATAAATAACTTCCAATGTCAAGTGGCTGCTCTCGGTCCTGTTCACTGTGTGTAGAGTGGAGTGGAGTGCTTATTTGTGTCAAGGGAACATATTCACAATGTACTTTATCTTTACACGAGCAGTTCTCCTGAATGCCACTAAATGCTTTTAGCTGAGAGTTTCCTCTTGAATCCTATTGAGCAGCATTTATCAAAGGTTTAAAGAGAACACTAATGCTAAAAGGATCAGTTGGTTTAGTGGGAATCAATGAAGGGTTCAAGACATTGCAAACAAGGTAATCTCTTGTTCAAGGTGCATGAGGATACACAAAAGCATCCTTGTATTGCTGGGATAGTTAACAATAATGAATGTCTTATTTAATCGAGGATACTTCTAAAGAAAGAAAATGAATAAATCACTCTGAAGAAAATGTATCTAAGAAAATATGTAAGCTGTTTGACCTAAAGAGAGGTTCGGTGAAACAGCGCTAAGTGCAACAAAGCAGATCAAGAAGAGAAAACGTGAACCAAAGATAAGGTGTTACGTCAGAAAAATAAGTTTGCATTAAATATTTAAAACCAACTGAATAGCAGCATAAGAGGTAGTAATACAAAGAGTTAATAGATGAGAAACTGTTTATTGAAGACGTGTAACAACAATATTTTAGAGGATGAAACTGCGTTTTCTTGGGGTTATAATAGCAGCTCATCAACAATAAAGCTTCATCAGAGGGAGATTGATGTTTCCTTCTTTACAGATTTCAGTTATCATGTCCTGTTTTATTTTGGTGAACTCACCTTTATACTTCACTTCCTGCCCTTGTGTGTTTCCCGCCTGTGTGATTGTCTGCCCCGCCCTGAATCATCTCACCTGTCCCTCGCTGTCCACCTCCTTCCATTGTGTTTTTAGTCTGTGTGCTCCACTTTGTCCGTGGCAGGTTGTTTTAGTGCGTGTACCAAGTTCCATGTGTATTTCCTGGTGTTAATGAACCACTCAATCATCTTACTGAGACTTCTGCCTGTTCTCTGTCTACCAAACTGCCTTCAAGTGAAGACCTTTTATTAGAAACCTCTCTGAGTATCAAGTCTTTGTCTGCTGGTACCAATGTCCCGCACAATTAGTTCTATTATTTAGTTATATAATTCAAATGTAAATATAATACTAACAGATGTATCCTGCTGGGGCCCCCACCGTTTCTTTTAATCAAAACACTGCAATGTGGGATTAGAAAAAGATTTGTGTGGGATTAGAAAAAGTGATGATGGGAAACAAATCGATTCAAATAATCCTATAAAATCATAAGAAATATAGTAGACTTACAATCACACCAACTGGCCAATTTCTTAATCCGCGTTCAAGTCAAACTGATAAAGTGTTGTCACCAATCTCAGCTTGCTCTCTGAGAACAATGTTGAAGTGTGTCTCAACATGACTCTACATCCCTGCTGAGATATGTCTCCATGAAAGGTCTGATAAAGTAGAAGCGCTAAGTGAGGAGCTCATTCTGGGTTTTGTCTAGATGTCTTTTAGATACGGTTCCTTTTCTTCTCAGGACAAACAAAGGAGGTAGTGCCGACCTCCTTGCAGCACTAATGTTTTCTTACACAGAGAGAGAAGGTGAAGCTCAAGGACTTAAACCCTCTTAATGGATTTAGTTGGCTTACAAAAATGGGAATACAAGTTAGAATGAAAACATCAAAGTTCAATTTCTTCTGAGCTGCTTTTATGAAATATGAAGGTGTTATGAATAAGGCACACAGGCCTTGCAACATTGGGCATAAATCTTCCACATTCACCCCGTAAGCACTGAATTTAATATTGTAATGATTTGACATGGAAGAGAAAAGAAGAATTTTCTTTTAAAGTATAGCTATCAATTCAAGTAGGAAGAGATGTTCTTCTCTGAGTCCAGTCATGCACCGCTCATACTATTGATTGCCCTGTAAATCTGAAAAATAGGATGTAAGTGTGGGGTGACAAGTCCATGTGATATCATAAATGTGAGATGGGAATTATCCAGCAACTGTAATTATCTTGTCTTCTTATTGAAAGGACCATTATCCTCTGACTCCTTCTCTCTACTTCCTTTCCGCCCTTTTTCTCATTTTCGTTTGTCTCTCCCAGCTCAGAACTCAGGAGGACGTTAACAGCCGCTGTAATGAAAGGAGAATAGAAACAGTGCTGAGCTGCACATGTCACATTTTAAACATATTAAAAAAGCAGCAGGAGACCTGAGGCCAGAATAAGTCTTGATTGTGAAGGAATACTCTGGCTTCTTGTGGAGGACTTAACAAGTACAGCATTTAGGTCATTTAGGGACTATACAGAGATGATTACCGTGTTATCATTTGTATTTTTGCTGGGAGGAGGGGAGTCTTACTGTTTTAGTGAAAGCAGGGGAGTAGTATTTCTTACCCCATATTTCTATTTCATTTCATATCTTATATTTGTGAGTGTTGTTACATCACAGCAGAAAGATGTTCATGTGCACCATATGCAGAGGGTATGGGTTGGGGTGAGAACATTGCACATCTCTTCAGCACACAGCTGTCTGTTCCCGGTTCACTTGTGTGATGGCTGTAATAAATGCGAAGTATTTTCCAATAAGACTTCCGAATAAAACGACTACACTTTTGTCCGTGCCCTCTTGAACCAGACAAAGAAGCATTTTATCATCTCACAGCACTATCGGCAGGAACACATGTGCCTTTCAGGAGCTTTATGAAGACTTGGGTGGTCTTACTTGGGCTTAAAATAAGCTCTTTGTTAAGGTTTGGGAAACATTGTGGTTATGGTTAAAGGACTACTTTATTAAAGGTAGGGGGCCGCTGACATCATGGTTGCAATTATAAGCATGCAGTTAAGGTTAGGGAGTGATTGTGATCATGCTTCTTGTGTTGACCAACTGTATCTGTTGTGATCAAATCCAATGTTTAGTTGACCAATCCATCACATGACCTCCTCCATATGTATATACGTAGATCTCTTCTAACATCACATGACCTCCTCCATATGTATATACGTAGATCTCTTCTAACATCACATGACCTCCTCCTTTGCTCCTGTCATGTACTATTTCAGCTGCTTTTGGGCTTCGTTACTTCAATGGAAACATATGTTGTTTTTTAACAGCAGCTTAGCTTGAAGTAGCTTTACGACAAACAGATCCACAGAATCAGTCTCTCTTATTCCTCATAATACAGCGGCCAGAGTGAGGCGTATGACTCACTGACCTCCATAGAAAGAACAGGATTCATGACCAAATGAGGAGGCTATGGAGAAGAGGAGGAATGGGAAATGTAAGCAAATTGAGGGGTGTGTGTGTGTGTGTGTTTTTTTTTTTAAGTAATGAATCATCTTCAGTAGAAACCTCACAGATTCACATGAGCTCAACACATTCTGCAGCTCATGTTTTAGCACAGACACAAGGTGCATGTTGGCTAACATACAGGAGAGTATTTATATCTATACAGAGAACCTACAAGCTGCCACAGCCCGTCTGGTTCTCACCGCACATTCAGCTAAATAGGCATTTCTCAATTGTTCTTCATAGATAACTTTTCGTTATTGGCTTCAAACATCAAAAAGAAAAGATATCATCTAGAACAGAACTGCTTTAATGCACATTCTCTCTCTCTTTGAGAGAAGGTTTAGCCTCTGCTAGCTTTGTCCTCACAGTGAAAATGTTATCTGTTGTACCACCTGCACAGTGCTGCTCCGACTCCAACTACAGATACAATACATCAAGCTGAATCCTGAACATGAGATATGTAACGAGCACACAGAAGCTTGGACACAGAGACTAAAACAGTGTCTACAGACTGCAGGAGCTGTGACTTGTTGCTCTAATGGAATTATATTCTCCATTCTAAATAATACATTAGCAACCAGATAAAAGGCCGGATTTCATCTGACAATATCTGCTCTCGTTCTATTTGCACTGTTAGGTGAAAGGCTGACACCACGTGGTCAATGGAGGTACTACACTATGGTTGTAAAACAATCAGTCAGAATATAAATTCATACGTCACCTGCTGTCAGTTTACTCAATTCTAACAGAAGCAAAACATACTGAAGTTTTAAGAAAATAACTTTCAATTGGAGGGAAAAAAAACGTCTTAAAATTGTTTAATGTTGAATGTTCTCGTCACATGACCAGCTCGGATTTACCACTGAAGAGCTAATTAATGAGCAAATCAGTTCTTTGAGTGTGAAGTATAAGACACATGTTCAAGCTACTTTCTTCTTGAGAACTCTGAAAAGCACTCTATAAATAAAATGTAGTTATTTATTATGATTACTTAAAGTTAAGTGTAAGAGCACATGTACGCTTGGAGTAGGAGCCAATCAGTGTCAATGTTTCCTTTTTTTTATGATGCTTTTTTGTCATGCGATTGGCCTATTAATCATATTTGTTGAGATTGTGAAATCAATATGAATTCATGCCTTTTAAGAAAATCTGTTTTTTTGATCCACTACACGCAGCACGTGAACCTAACTCACTGGTAACATGTGAACACATGGTGAGGATCAATAATAATGGAAACAATAAGAAAAACAAATAACAAACTGAAAAGTGGCGTAATGTCCTTTTAAATGCAATACTCGGCTAAAGTGACACATTTGTGAACTCTTGCGGTTCCACGAACATGTTAGTCATCGTAGGTCTGGGCCGATGGGAGTAGTCTAGGAACGCGTGCTCACCTCTTCTACTCCAAGTTTAGAGACTTCTGCAGCTCAGCTGTTTTATTACATAGAAGTATTTTCAAGACAGAAGTAATTCGATGAATAACTTTCATTTATGTTTGTGAGCGTGAGTAAAAGTGAAGAGCAGGTTAATGAATACGGCCCTGATCCGTATACAGGAAGTGTGCTTGTGCTCAAAGGCACAATGAGCAGAATCATGTGTTGAATTCACAGAATAAATATTTATTGATCGAGTGACAACTGACCTATCTCTGCATGACTCACACTGCCTTTCATCCTTTCATAACACGACAACAAGACACGAGATGAACCTTCTGGAATGCACAGGACACCTTGGTACAATCACTCGTCTTAAATCATCTTCAACATTGCAACAGAAACACCGCAGCATCTTAATCTAAAGGAAACACACCATACTCGTCCTTGTATCACTGGCTGTCCATCATCATCCATCGAGGTGGATTCTCTGGTGGCGCTTCAGGTTACATTTCTGGGTGAAGCGCTTGCCACAGGCCAAGCAGCAGTACGGTCTCTCTCCTGTGTGGACCCGTCGGTGGGCCTTGAGGTTGCTCAGCTTGGTGAAGCTGCGACCACAGAGGGAGCAGCAGAAAGGCCGCTCGCCTGTGTGAGTCTGCAAGTGGGCCTTCAGGTTGCTGGGGTGGGGAAAGCACTTCCCACACTGGCCGCAGCGCAGGAGGTGCCTGGGGCCAGCGTGAGGGTGAGAGTCCAGATGGGGTAAGGGGTTGCTGCAAAGAGAGTTTGCAGACGGGTGTGTTTTGATGCTGACCCACGGGACACCAGTTCGATTATGTGCTGCGGCCTGTTTGTCGCCCAGGTGAACTCGCTGCACTGAGAGTGGAGGAGGAGGAGACGCTTTAGATGTGGATGCAGGTCTGTTGAGGGGGTTTAAGTTTACAGCATGAGAGTGAGCTATAGACAGTGCGGCGTTAGCAGCGTTCAGGTGTGTGTGAGGGGCCTTTTTCATGGGTCTGTGGAGGTGCTGTATAGCAGCTTGCAATCTGAAACCTGTACCCACTTTGGAATGTAGCTTCATAACCTCCTGCACAGTGGCTCTGTGGGAGATGCGGTTGTGCTTAAGTGCTTCTGAACTCCCTCTGTGCTGTTTTACTGAGCATGAGAAAGATGCCATTCTAGACTTAGTCATGTTCTTTTTGTTAGGCTCACTCTCCACACACACATCCGAATCCACAACCTCCTGCTTGATAGTCACACCCAACGCGTCACTGTTGTGCAGTCTTGAGTTCGGGGACGCTGAGGATGAGATCGGATCTCTATCTGAGGTAACCAGAACATCAACATGTGCTGTGACACAGTTGGACAGCTCGTGTTGGGTTTGCTCCAGGGGACCTTCAGCTTTGACTGGATCACAGTCCTGTTCAATTGCAAGTCTGTGAGTCTGCAGTAAACCAGGTGTTGTGACAGTCATGCCAGCCCACCCACTGTCCATCACTAAAGATGGATCTGTGGCCATGTGCATTTCCTCCTGCTCTTCAGGAAAGACGTATGCAGCAGAGATCTGCGGGTCTTGCTTGATAACGTCCCTCAATAGTGTCTCGCTGTTCTCTTGAGGCTGGCTTAGTTGTGCCTCTGTCCTCTCAGTAGCGCTGTGGGATTCAGCTTCCGCTTCACCTAGAAAATGAATAAAATCATAGATATACTGTATTAATGTCTTCAACTGCATTGTTTTATCAACTGGTCTGCCAGACTGCAGGTTAGTTGCTGCCACAGCTAACGTGTTGTGCTCAATCAGGTGCAGAGCCTGAAAACATAATACTTCATTCACTGAAATGGTTTCTTCCCTCCAGGTAAGCCAAAACAAAATGAAATAAATAAAATGAAGTAACAAAATCATGAAAAAATAAGCAGTACTGCTCTGAAATGCTGGGGGCATGTCCCCTGAAGGCCCATCTCACTGCTGCAGGAATGCTTCATGGACAGAGCATGCGCACAAACCGGCTAACCTCAGGTTTAGTCCTATGTTTACTTGAATGGGGATAAAACAATAGAATCATACGGCTCTTCAGATGTTATCGGACCAAACTGATTCAATTCTAATATTGAAACGAGTCATTTTGCGGGAGCTGTGAAATTAAACCCATGAAGAGTAGTGAAGGAGTCGTCCACAGTGGAGCCTCTGAAGGAAGCACACGTTCTACTGGAACACGCATGCTGCAGGCTCTCATGGCACACAGGAAGGACCGCATGACCGGTAAAAACTTGATGGAATCTTTGAGGGTCTACCAGCACATCGGGGCGTCGGCCCCCCAGCATTTGTCCCGGTACGCCAGATTGCAAACAAACCACTGCTAGCTAGCAACGGCTGTGCTAAGTAGTTGAAAAAGCATTGATGCCATGCGCTCTTGATTTGATATCGTTTTAGAGACGTTGTGCTCAGCGGGACTTCTCTGCGTCATCCATGATTTTAGGCCCAAAAAAAATCCCAAACACAAAGATGGTGAAAAAAGTGTAACACGCTTATAAACATGTTTAATGTTTATAATTATTATTTATGTTTCTTACTGTACCCTTTAAGTAAGTACGTGTAAGAGGATGGGTACACTCATATATATATTATGTATTATATTTACACAAAGGTGCTCTCAGTAAAGACACCTTTGTGTGACATACGTTGGAGAAACTGTCTACATGAGACAATATTAAGCTATTCACAAGCCACAGTGAGGTTAATGCTGAGCTCTACCAGCTACAGTGGAACCTCTACTGTTGGAGGAATGAAAGATCCACACACCACTTTTCTTTTGCACCAATGACATCATTGAAAAAAATGCCAAATGTGGCTCAATTCTGCACTTTTTGAATAGTAAATATTTCAAATGAAGTGTGATACAGTAGTTATGTGAAGTGGTACGAGTGTCGGTCATGGAGCTTCACTGCAGTAAGAAAATACTATTTTATTCATCATTTGTAATAACACGTCCTTAATCATTGTTCTTTTTATTTTCTTATTTGGTCAATCATTTTAATACTTTTCACAATGCTAAGTCCCATTATGATTTATTCTAATAGTAGTAGTTGTTGTAGTAGTGCTGATAGTAGTCATATCAAATGTAAGATATTAAGTTTCTTATTTATTAAAATGTTCAAACTTAATATGCAAAGAAAACAATGGAGACAGCACAATACTCACCATCAAGAGGACCGCTCCAATGCACAGAAAAACAAGATGGCTTATAGGCATCTTCATCCTTCACATCCAGCGCTGGCAACACATCATCATCTTCTGTCGTCTGAATAGCACAGAGAACATATCAGAGAATATGGTTTCAGTTATTTGTACGACTCTAGGAACAATACTGATCAAACATCACCGACTTATTCTGCAATGAAAGAGTCCTGTGAACCTACCAGTGACTTTCTGGCAGGACTGAACGTGGACGTAGTACTGTCTTCTGCCTGTGTCGACTCTGGAATGACTTCCTGTGTGCAGCGTATTGACCACCTTTCAACAGAGTCGCCTTCTTCTTTCACACCACAGCCCCCAAACATGTCTGGAAAACAGAGGTACTAAAGTAGCAAAACATACCGCAGTGTGTGTGTGTGTGTGTGTGTGTGTTAATATCTTTCTGGTTGTTCTTACCATCTTGCTGTACTGTGGGCCTTTCTTCTTCAGTATCACTGGACAGTTCCACATCATCCTTTGAACCATCGACACACCTCCCAGCTTTCCGTCCCTCTTTCCCCCCTTGGTCACTTAACTTGGTCTCAGCCCATCGCAGCTGCATCCTCAGGGACTCCACCTCCTGGTTCCTGCGCTGCATCTCCTCCAAGAAGCCGTCCTCCACCAGCCTGGTGACCTCGTACATGGCTGTCTTTACTACGGTCTCCATTACATCCGACAGCTGGGTCTGGAAAGTTACAATGAGGGTGTCCAGGTCCGACATGATTGACCGTCAGGGTCTCGTGTCTTATAACGGAATTCCGCGTGTTTGTGAGGAAAAATAGATTCCTATATATTTGCTCTCGGAAAAAGCAACCACAGGTTGTTTACGCTGTAACGTAACACCATTGCTTTACATCCACGTCTTGGTGTGGGTATTCCAGGCAACGCGGATGAACAATAAACAGATATTCATTCAGTTATACACGTTAAAAGGCTGAACTAGCGATGCCCAACGAGCTATTTACAGATACGAACAGCCTTCATGTAAATTCAGATTTTCACCGAGCAAGCTAATGGGGCTCCTTAGCTTAGCGGTAGCATTCGTATGCTAGCCAACGTTAACGGCGTAAACACGTCAAAAAACCGTGACATTACACAACAACAAGTTATGGAAACCATAGTCGAGCCTCGCGTGTTGATCTATTTACACGTGTGTTTATGGATTCCGCGAGTGACCGCTGTTTAGCTAAGCAAATGCATGTCCATAAGCATTCAACCCAGTTAGCTTTCCAACAATCGCTTGTGGTCCTCCTTGTTTTTGCTCGTGACGTCGTACACAACGCAGTACGGTGGCCTTACCTGAAGTCCGTCTTCTTCTTCTTCTTCTTCTTCTTATGTGGTGTTTAACGACAGCTTGCATCCTTTTTGTTGCATTACTGCCATCTTCCGGTTTCAGTCAGTTCCTATGTTCCCAACTACTCAACTTTCCCCATCAGACCCGTTGCTCGCAGAAAGTTTGTAAAGCACCTTCTTCCCAGATTACTAGATCCCCACTCTATTATATTATTCAGCTCTCTTCCTTCCTCTCATCCCTAGTCTTTGCATTTTTCTCCCAGCATGCCCCTCCTTTCTGAGCTGTGTCTGATACAGGAGGTGATAACGTGTTGTACAGTCTCTGGTGCCTGGCAGTGCTCACAGAGACCGGTTGGATGCTTCCCTATCATGTGTAGTGTGCCCTATTCTTCATCTTGATATTGTGACCTCTTCTCTCCTGTTTCCTCCCCTGTATCTCACACTGCTCACTTTACTCTGAATTGAATGTAGGTGTCTCTCCCTCGTCTCCTGGTCCTAATGTTGTTGCCATACGTACCTGAAGTCTGTGAATGACAAAACGCGTTTTAATAAAGTGAAACCGAGCAGTCCATTTTAAACTCATTGTTTAAGATAGGAATGCGTCTTATTTATCTCACCAGGCTCTCTTAAAATGCTTCATCGAAAGGAGGCAAAGAAAAGTGATATTACAAATGTTTAACCAAATTTAAGATATATCATGCCTATGATTGCTATGGAGATCAAAGATTATTTCATTCATTTCCAAAAAGGTTTTTGATACTTTATGTATTTCATACTTCCACATCAAAAACTGGGCCTCTACATTTTGATATTAGGTTATGTGGAAATGCTCACGTTGTACTTTTCACAGCAGCCATTTTGACGTAACAGGGACATAATTAATGTCAATGACTGCACCTGTTTACCCTGCAACTACATGTCAAAATGCCTGCTGTGAAATAAGCCTATAATCAGACTCATTTATCTTACCATTTATTACATTTAGGCAGAAGCTTGAGAGTTTTTTATTACTTTTTATTCAATGTTCTTGGCCAAATAGCAAAAGTTATGTTTTGACACACGCAAACTATTTAGGAAACCATTTAGTATAAAGTCACAACACGGTGACTGGGGACCAACTCGTTATGAGGCCATAACACAAATAAGAAAATACATTTTACATATTTGTAAAAATTAAACACCATACAACCATGGGAGAAACATGCAACTCGGCGCTGATAGACCCCAGCTATAGAGGTTCAAATCCAGAACCTTTTTTGGATTAGGCAACACACAAGTTGCTCTGATGAATGTTTTTAAACATCCACCACCACTTTTATGTTTAGTTGGTTTTCTGAGATGAGGGCAGATATGAAGATACCTCTCTGACACCTGCTGGACCTTTGACGACCATCTAAACTGCATTCTCTCTACTCAACCACCGTCCAATCTTCTAGCAAAAGGGGGGTTTCTGATTAACCCTCTACTGAATAAGAGAAACCACTGAAATGTCACTCATATTTACTAAGATTTCCCTTATCTTCCAAACTCTTGATTTTGCTACACTGATGTGTCTCAACTAACACACTCATCTGCAGTAACAGGGTCTATAACAAAGAAAAGTTGCTTAAAAAATGACAAAAATCACCACGAAAGTCAGTTGCATGTCAAATCAAAGTTTGTTTCAAGAAAAAAATAACGTTTTCAAGTGAATTCATTGATGAAAGGAACAGTGTGTATGATTTAGAAAGATTAATTGGCAGACATGGAATATAATACGACTAAAATTCATTAGTTTATAATCCCCTAAAATGAAGAATCGTTTGCGTTAGCTTCGAATGAGTCATTCATATCGATATAAGGAGCGGCTTCTCTTCTCTGGAGTCAGCCATGTTTCTACAGTAGCCCAGCACGGACAAAGCAAACACCGGCTCTAGAGAGCCTTTCACGTTAGGGAGGGGTGAGCAGAGGGGCATTCAGTTTCAATCTGCAAACTCACTCCTAGATGCCACTAAATCCTACACACCGCTCCGTTAAAAACCAATTTAATCTTAAAGAAAACATTAACAGACAGACTTTTTTTAAATTTTATTTCAAATTTGAAATGTAATCACGAGGACAATGTTACTCTGCCCTTTTTAAACTTTACTTAACCAAAATATGCAGCAATAAATGTGTACAAATAAAGACGCATTTCATCTTTGTCTGACATTTTTCATGGAAACAAAAGGTTTTTGTTTTTTTTAATACAAAGGGCTTGGAATTGAAGAGAAGAAAAAAATAAACATTGAAGGATCACGATTTAAAACGTTCATTTTTAAAACCAAAACAGAATATTTCTGACGCTCTCTCCACAAAACGTCCCTAGCTTTATAGATCCGTTATGTGTTTGCGTTGATGTGATTTCAGATGATCCAGGCGTTTGAAGCTGAGGCCACAGACAGTGCAGCAGTATGGTCTTTCCCCAGTGTGGGTACGATGGTGAACCTTCAATATGTCTGCCCGTGTGAAGCTCTTATCACACATGGTGCACCGATGAGGTTTTTCCTGTGTGTGAATTCTCCGGTGCAACTTCAGATTCCAGAGGCGACTGAACTTGTTCCCGCATACAGTGCAGCAGTAAGGTTTGTCACCTGTTTGGCCACACTTGTGTGTCTTTAGGTCAGAGAAAGAAGGGAAACCTTTCCCACAATGGCTGCAGAGGTGGAGTCCCTGCCCCGAATGGATCCTCTGGTGGACTTTGAGGTTACAGGCTTGAGTGAAGGTCTTTCCGCATTGGGTGCAGGAATATGGTGGCACTTGTCCGGTGCCTTTATGTGTCTGCCTGTGGGCCTTTAGTGAGGCTGAATCAGGGAAAGACATGGAGCACTGGTTACAGGTCTGTCTCCTTCCTCCTCTTCCTCCGGCCTGATGCTGCAGCCTCTCTCCCAGGTTTAAGGTGTCACTGTATGCATCTGACGGTCTATACATATCCTCTGTGCTGTCTAAAGATGGGTCAGTGCGAATGCCTTGGCCCCTGAAGTTCAACCTGCCGCCTGGATCACTAGACACATGTTCAGGGTACAAAATACTCGGGTCCTGTAGATAACCTTCTTCATTGATCAATAAACAGCTTAGCTCTCCACTTACATGAATGTTTGTCCTTGTGGGAGAGCCGGCAGGTGAACCGACCGTGCCCCCTCTATTTCGTGCAGCACCTGTTTGGTAATCTTGATGCTCGGCTCCTTCTGGTGCTTCCACATCTCCCTCATAGTGCCCCATGTAGCTCAGATCCTCACCCAGTTGGGATGGTGATCCTTGTAACCCATCCAAGTTACCCATGTCTATCATATTGGAGTCTCCATAGCCAGTCTTGCCAAAGCCACCTAATTCTTCCATACCATACCTGCTCTGGAAATGTGGTTCAGATGGGTCACCTGAGTGTCCATCTTGGCCTGGTTCTGGCCTCTGGTCATAGCCAGCTCCCCAGCTCAGATGACTCTTTGGGATCTTCTGGTCACTGAAACGTTTACTGGGCCCCGGCAGACCTGATGCCTCCGTTTCTGATCAATGAGAGGAGAAAAAGATGTTCTAACAGTTCTGGGTACAGGGACTACAATGACACAATTACCATATGAACACTGAAAATAATGACTTTGGAGCAAGTGTTTAGGAATTCCGTCATCTGGTGTACAATTTTCCTTTAAACCAGTGCTGTAGAAATGACTACATACTCATGTTATGTGATTGAAAATCAATATGATATTAATATGCTTAAAAATAGCTTTGCTGAATGTGTGCATATATAAAGAGACCAACCATCCAAATTGACTCCCCATCTCTCTTGGGACTCATTAGTTTCCGGTGTGATCTGAAGGGCTTCCTCTTTCAGCAGCCTACTCAGCTTTTCACCCCGTACACCTGGAGACTGGCAGACAAGTACAAAGACGACATTTATACAACAGGTTTTAACTCTACTCCCCTTAAGAGAAACCAGAAGCGTGGCAGCAGTTTAACAGGTAGGTCAAATTGAACTCTCCAGCATTTAAGTTACACAAAAAAAGGAAATATTGAAAAATATAACAGAGGTTTTAAACTATAATTACTTAACTCCTGAGAAATGTACAACAACAACATTTCCATTGACTGTGCTTACAAACCTTTAAGCAAAAACACATTTTTAGCATTTCAATCCAATTTATTGAAGCTAAAAGAGTGCAACAAGCTGCCCTCTACCTGTGGTGCTGCCATTGCACTGTGGGCCTCTGGTCTCGTCTCTTCGTGACTAGGTGTCCCTCCTTCAGTGCTTCGGGAGCTATTTATCTCTTCTGGCAACAGACTCTCCTGTTTCAGACTTCTCTCTGCAGCGGAAGATAGGGAAAACATATTTTTTATATGATAATATGTCAATGTTGTGTTTACAGCGGTTTGTCTCTGCCCTCAAGTGGCCGGTTTAATGCAGCATGATTGATTTACAGAACCTGTGCCTGCTGGTACTGGAGGCACAGTTGATCAGAATGAAGAGTGTGAATAAAACAGTTGTGTGGAAAGACACAAAAATGCGAGATCTTGAAGAGTTGAGTGGTGACAGATCCGTGGGTTTGTCACTAAACAGCAACTCTCTCACATAGTTTCTGATTAATTGTTAGTTTAAAAATATTGATTGATGAGCATTTGTTGATTTCATCTAATATCTATTCATTTTATAAACGTCTACTTTCTTTTACATGTATGATCACTTAATCACCTATAATTTTTAAAATAATTCAACTCCAAAAGAGCTCATGTATGTAATCAAGTTTAGTCCCCCATGTCACAAAATCAATGTTGGTAATTAATAGTGGCTGAGTATCCATTAGTAACAGCAGACTCACCTGTCGCACACAGATTGTCCTCACCGGAAAACCCGACTCTTCCGCAGTCGAGGCATCGTCCCCTCCTGTCTCCATCTCTGTCTTTACGGCGACTCTCCGACCACTTCAGTCGCCTCTTCAGGGACTCGACCTGCTCCCTGCACCTCGTTACCTCTTCCACAAAACTGTCCTCCACCAGCCGCGTGATCTCATACATGGCAGCTTTGAAAACCGTCTCCATGACACCAGAAAGCTGGGACTGAAACGTGACTATTGTGTCGGCCATTGTGCCAATGATGTGTGACAACAGTCCTTTAATTTCAGTGCACTGAAAAGCAGCAACTTCCAACTGGCAAAGACTGCAGCGGAGTGGCAGTGGTCAGGCACAGCTAACGTTGGTCTCTTTAAGTTCTGTCTTTAACTCGGTTTTCAGTCCAGGTAACGGTTAACAAGCCGTACGCGTATTTTGGTTGGTCCACGATGACCGTGTGGTTACTTCCACCACACCAAACGCGAAGTTAATCAAACTGTAGACTTGCTTGTAATGTCAACATTAGCTTAACTAGCTTGCTGCACTAGTTGTGAATGCTAGTTAGATAAAGCTAGATTCCGACCCATGCGATGCGTACTTATCTGAAACTTAAAATAACCACCGTTAACCATCATATAATTTATGTTTAGTCTAAGGTGGGTTTGGTAGCAAAAAAACAGTTTAATTTCTTAGCTGTAATCCAACGTTACAAAATGCCGTTGGGCTTTCATTTCCTGTTGATTCCGCAAACAACCATACTTCCGAGATTAACATACGGGTCGTGAGTTGGGACAATCTTAAGCGTTTCAGCTGCATGGGTGTCTGTTAAAGAATGACGCTTCCTGGTCAATAATTGCACATAGAGCGTTAATGGTAATCAATATCTCATACATGTAGCAGTTTATTGTTATCTTTCCAATTGATTTAGTTATATATAAAACAAACAGTTTGGCATTTATGTGGATCACCGGATATGTGCTCAACTCCCTCCTTCCGTCGAAGTGCGTCACACAAAGCAGAGAGACCGCTGGCCACGACGGGAAGGAGCCATGTTGAGTTAGCTCCTAAAGCCATGTTTTTTTAATAACGACACAGTAAATGTACTCGTAAAAGTGGACTCATACCTAAACTCAGACGAACGGTAAACCATACCAAAATGTCGGCGGACGATTTTCAGACAAAGTACTCCTCTGTCATGGAGAGTATGCTCAAGAGCGCAATCGCGGAGACCACGAAACTTTTCGAAACTATGGTCGACGAGCTGAAGGCAGAAATATCTCGGGTGAAGAAGGAGAACGAGGGCCTCAAAATAAGATGTAGCCATTTTGAGAATGCGAGAAACCAACCTACTGTTCACAGCAGAGAGAGGGATCCTCTCCACGGGCCTAGCGACGGCTCTGAGAAACGTGACCGAGCTGTTCAATGTGGTGAGTTGTGCAACCCAACAAGCCTGTTCGTCTCAAACAATGCGACGTTAATGGTCTGATAATACTATGTGATGTTTTATCGCAAACGCGCAGTATATTCGTGTCATACGGGATACATTTAGCAGCTGATAACTACTGATGTGGCGGTGAGGTTAGCGCGGCTTGGCTTGATCGAGCGTGGGATCAGAAATAGGAGGGAAACCATACAATGCTATCTTGGCTAGCAGCTTCGGACAGTGTGTTCCAACCACACTATTGGGTTGAGTCGTAATGGTTCTGTACAGTACTGAACCCTTCACAAACAGCATCAACTCTACAATACCACATTGACTTCTTATTTTAATTGTATGCTTTAGATTCATGACTAGTCTCACATCCATTTCGTGTTAAAATGGAGTGAAGTCATCTAAAATTTAAATATGTGATCAATATTTAGGAATATATTAATGGAAGAAGCATGACACATTTTAAAGAATGCTATGTCAAATTAATTTGTGTTGTAGCGGGGTTTGATCATACAATGTAGCTTTTTGTGTAAAGACAATGCAACTTGTTTCAGTTTGTAGCATCTCGTTGGTGGGGAATGAGGTGTTTGTGTTTTGATAGGCTACTTATTTCTATGGGCAGGTGTGTGTCTGTGTACAGTGTGTTACACAGTCAGGCTAGTGTTGTCTCTTATGATGTCCTCACTCATTCTAAAGAAGCAATATATTGTGTAGGGGGAACTGAAAGCAGTGTTATTTGTGCTAGTGAGCCATTACTGTAAGCACATTTCATTTGTAAAAATTATAAACCAACTCAAACCTCAAATCAAATTTTGTTTAATATTTAATCAGCGCGGTTTGCACCCAGGAGCGCAGAGGAAAGACCGAACTACCGACACTATGGAATTATCATCGGCTGTAAAATAGTGTCAACTAGCGTTAAAGAAATGCAGAAAAGAGCAATAATCGTTTAATACTGTGCACATATCCCCGAGTGCAGTCTTAGTTTTCATAAAGTGTCAGAGTAAAATCGCTGCGGTGAACACGACTTTATTGATTAATTTATGGTTTAATCCATTGAGATATATATATATATATATATATATATATATATATATATATATATATA